TATCACATCGCATAATGACATTTTGAAAACGCAATATTTTACCTTGATAAATTATTTTTACAAACAAATACAGAGGGTTAGTTACCAGTTATGAAATTAATACATATACAAGGGCAATTTTTAAGTTTTTTAGATACGTATTCGTCAAGAAAACTATACTTTTTTGAAAACTCATTATGTGATGTGATGTCACACCGGTGATATTTGCATATGAAACAAAGTTGAATATCTTGAAAAGGGAGCAAGTTACCAAAATTCTATAAAAGAAATTATTAAGTCATTTTAAGTGATCTTTACAATGCAATCATAAACATATGGGGTGAAATTTCGTGTCATAGGCACTTTAAAGACTGTTCTTATTTATGCATGACCTTTGACTATTAAGTGGCCGAAAATTGTGCCTACATGCAGTAGTCAACTTAATCCACTATCCAGGTTGCATCATTTTGATATATATATATATATATATATATATATATATATATATATATATATATATATATATATATATATATATATACGAGTAGGTTTATGAATACGAAACGCAAAGAGTGCTCAATATCATGAAGATAGAGCAAATGTAGAATTTCGCTTACCTCGAAATTCCGCAACAGTCTGTTTCATCAGTAAAGAATCATCAGGCGGTATCGCCTGATGATTCTTTACTGATGAAACAGACTGTTGCGGAATTTTGAGGTAAGCGAAATTATATATATACAGGGTGTCTAAAAAAAAACCAAAATCGTATTGTTCGAATTTCAATGCCGTAATACAAAGGATTTTGACAGGGTGATTAATTTGTTTTAAAAAATTAAAATATCTTTGTAAAGTGAACGTTTGTTTGCTCATGGGAATTTAAAAATGCTTCGTAAATTCGTGGGTTTAGTACTTTATGCCTGACATAACAAGTTTGCGCTGAGTATTACCATTCATTATAGCAGTTATGTCAATCTTTTATGCACTCGTGGGATTAACTTAGTGCTAGGGCATTGAATATCGAACAATACGTCAATTTCAATGATTTTGGGTTTTTTTGAGACACCCTGTAAACAGGGTGTACAGGGTGTCCCAAAAAAAACGAAAACTATTGAAATCACCAATAACAATTTAATTGTTAGAATTTGAATGCCTTAGCACTCTGTTGGTTCCCACGAGTGCATAAATGATTGACATAAGTAAATTTTATGCATAAAGAAACTATTTAAGAAGCTGTTTTAAATTCCCAAGAGCAGAAAATCGCGCACTTTACAAGGAGATGATTTTACCTAAAGTTTAATACATGCACGGCGTCAATATTTTACGCATCATAACGTTCAGCTGCTTGGAAGGGCATTCAAATTTTAACAATAGTGATTTCAATAGTTTTCGGGTTTTTTGGGACACCCTGTACAACTCTTAATCACTTTTTAATCACTATTTTGTAGTTAAATAGTGATTAACTCTCAAACACGCGCTTCTTATTGGATGACGTTTCCACTAACTATAGTTAACTTTAATCACTTTTTTATACAACCGGCCCCTGTGTGGTGGAAAGTAACTAACAGCAAGCAACATACAATATATAATTAAATCTTTATTCGGCAACATGACAAAGTCTTTAAGTTTTGTGTTATCTCATTACTCGTACTTCCGTAATCACTGAAAGAGTCTGACTCAATAGTTTTTCAGTTCGTGTGAACGTATTAAGGCCCAGGGCTCGAAATAGCGGGCTGCCAATGACCAAAAGCAGGCCATATTTTAGAAATGGCAGGCCAAAACAAATTTGAATTGCCAAAGTAAAAAAAAATGGCAGGTGAAATTCTATAGATATATTTCATTTCATTTGCTTACCACAACTCATACATACTAGATCATTTAGTTGACTAAGTTTACTGTAGTAAAGTGGACAAGTTTAGAAATAATAAAAATGCATATCATGAAAAAATTGATTTTTACAATATGACTCATATGAGACATCGCCATTTTGGCAGTTCGATGAATAGAAATTGCAGCAGGTTAAAATTTATTTCACCTGCCAAAAAGTTTTAGACTGGCAGGCCATATTTTTTCTCTGCTTCGGGCCCTGGAAAGACCTGTATTAAGCGATCACTTGCGAACTCCCCTAGGGTGACCGTTTAATACAGGTTCGACTGTAGGTGGTTTGGAAGCCACCTATAGTCTGGAAAGGAAAGGAATTGAATAGAATAAAATAGAAGAGTAGACACGTTATATCGCGCAAGTTGTTACAGATCTGATCATCTGCAAACAAGTTGTACCAAGGTTGTTGTGAAGCCGATATCAGGATGTGTTCGCACTGCTTGTTCCCAGTTGTTGTGACAAGTCTGGAACAAATTGGCGTCACCTTGTTACAAGGTCGATGACTTGCTACAGGTTGTTCCAACACGACTAATACAAGCTGTTCGCAACAAGTTGCAACGAGCTTGCTGTCATCAACTTGACGTGAACAACCTGTCACGTGCAGACGCGATATCAGACTTGTTGGAACAACTTGTTGCGACTCTGTTGCTCTCTCCTCCGCAGAGCCTCCTTAAGTATTTACAAATAACTTACATGAAGTTTTCTGAATAAAAGTGAGCGCGCGCGGTGTGATGGGAATATTGAAATGAAGTTGGGGAGGCTCTGCCAGATAATTCGACGAAGTATGGTTTTTGAACCTTTTTTTAAACCTAGTTGTTTGACCTTTTTTTAAACTTGAAATCGACGGAAATGTGAAAGAAATTGAAATGAATCTTCATAATCTGAGTATCGAAGTTCAATAGAGTCATTTTTATAAAGAAATGTTGCAATTAATTAAGAGGATATTTATAATCAGATCGCTCTATCCATTGATATTCGTTTGCAATTTCTCAATATTTTTCGATGCAAATGGACAGAAGAAGATATTGATATTGAATTCACCCCAGGATACTCAAGTACGCCTGAAAATGAAAGTCGAAAACATGTTTTAACTTTTCGCTCATAAACTTGGTTCGCCAAAGTTTCACGAACGAATATCCAGATGTACGATGCCTTCACGTACGTATTCGCACGTGAAGGGCATCGTACATGCATCTGGATATTCTTTCGTGAACTTTGGCGAACCAAGTTTCTGTTGTTGCTACGGAGGAACTCTGATACCATAAAAGCTCTCTGCTGCGGAGTAAATTGTGGCATCGCCATTTCAAAGTGTACGGGGTATTATACGAGAGAATGCGTTTCAGCACAAACAACTCGAAAGCACAAATTCCATGGAAATTCCACGGAACTCTCATGGGAGTAAAAATCAATTCATAATGAAGCAAGAACAGCACCAACAGAGAAAAATTTAACGTTTTCATAGGCTTTTCGGAGGATTTGTACTCGGTAAAATCCTGCCGAAATTTTATCACAAATGCAACAAATAGCGAACTTTTCATACATAAACTCAAATAAAGAATACCGTTTGTCATTTCCGTGCGCAAGCCACTTTTAGGAGAGCAAAAGTTGACCACCCCCCTGGATAGCAAAATTTACTATTTTCAATTTTTTTTATATTTTCCATAATTTAAGAACTCAAGCAATCCATATATAGCAAAAATTACATTTCATGAACAGAATTGTGGAATTGAGACCAATTTCAAAATTGTCTTACTTTTTTTGATACACCCTGTAGAATAAAATATATTTACCTTTTTCTTTGTAAACGATGTAAAATTTCTCAGGAAATCCTCCCTCGTGTGTGCTAGCATTGTACGTCACATTAACACTATCTTCGTCCACACCATGGACAAATGGCGGTTCTGCCACTGCAGGAGCTAAAAACATAGATGGAAATGGTCAGCATGCCACAGGAAATGATGATGATCGTGATAAGAATATAGTTATGGGATATAGTTATGGACTCAAGGGCGGATTTTCATTCTTTTAAAAGGAGGGGTGGAAACATTCCTAGGGCGTAAAAAAAAATACCTGTGGTTCCGGTTCCCGACCGACCCTATTTTTTTCTGCCGACCCTATTATTTTTTTCAACGCGATTGACCGTGCGACCCTATTTTCTCCAGGTGGTTGCGGGCTGCTCATACAGCGTGCCAAAATGGGGTCTGTTGTCACATTAATTATTGAACTAAATTGCCTAAATTCGTCCATAGGAAACACGCATCTCTAGTTAATATTGATGTCGGAACTCCACTGCAAATCGCCCAGCAGAAAACCGTGCTCTTCCGATCTATGAAAAAAATATTCAAAAAAAAATTTATTTCCGACCTACCGACCCTAATTTTTTCACGATATGAAACCGGAACCACAGTTATTTTTTTACGCCTATAGTGGTGTGCAAGCGGTACCACTGAGGAGCTTCGACAGGGGTTAGGCGTTAAAGCCGATACACACCAGGCGCGATTTTTCAGTTTTTGAAAGTTAATAAAACAGTCAATGAAAGGAGATTTTAAAAGATATGTAGATCAAATAACTCAAAATGTTACAGCGCTTCTACATATTTGACTGAAAACTTAAACCAGGATCAAAGTTATCGGTCAGTGAAAATCGAAAAATCGCGCCGCGTTGTCGAATCGCGTCCGGTGTGTCTGGGCCTTTATAATAATAATAATAATAATAATAATAAATAGTTTAATAAAACGCTTTGCAGTTACAAAACTGAATTACACGCTTAAACTAGAGATGACAATGAGCTTTTAGAAATATTACAAATATAAAATTATCTATTGAACAATATTAAATAAAAAAGTTTAACCTACAATGACCAAGAAACATCAATAATATTTGCATGTAATAAACTGAGAGAAACGTTCTGTACGTGCCCTTACTCTATTTAGTCCCTCGTGTCTTAAATTATAACTATGATTACGTTCATAATGAATGTTATGCCTCAAAATGTTAGCAATAGGGTTGTTTGGTTGATCGTGGTCCGATGCTTTTTCCATACCTGGTCTAGTGTAACCTTCATTGAATAAAATTGCTATCTAAGGCCCCGTTTACACGAGACCGGAACGAAGTCAAATCAGGACCGTTTTCGTTTCGGTCATAGTCAATTATTTATAGTAGATGTTTTCATGAGACCAGGACGAAAATAACTCAGACCAGTCTCAAGTCATTCCACCTGCTGGACCGAACCGACTGACTTCAGACCGGCATGAATTCAGACTGGGATGAATGTAAACACAAATACATTTCAGACCGGTCTCGGCTGTAACCTTGACATTGGAACAACACATGCTAAGGGACCGATCATTATTTATGGGGTAACTTTGAAGAGAAAAGGGTTGGGTAAACAAAATTTTGAGTGAGTAAAAGGTTGGGTAAATGAAAAAGAAAACAACTCAAGGGTTGGGTAATAAAATATTATTGTCATTTCCAAAGCATGACTCACTGAAATATTGGAGACCAAAAAGCACTGTCAACAGTCAGATGTCAATATAATATGTGAACCAATCAATATAATATGTGAACCAATCACTATCTTGATAATTTTCCGATATGTTGAGAGACAGATGGTGTCTCCAAAGAAAGTACACGTGCAGACAACATGAAACTTTAGACTGCAGAAATTTGCACAAGCAGTTATCAAACTCATGTCACAGAAGTGGTAAAGGACATGTGTGACAACTGAATGGTATCCGTTTGTAAGTACCATTAGTACCGTAAGTTTTTGGCCAGGGGTGGGTATTTATTTTTTAATCGATATTTTAGGTTGGGTATTCAATTTTTTTACTTTTTAATGGTTGGGTCAGCACAATTTTTGCCGCAAAAAAACATTTCTCTTCGGTGCCACCCCACACCATAAATAATGACCAGTCCCTAACAAAAGCCATAAATTGAAAATAAATTGGGGAATAAATAAATGAAATTTTCGTACCGATCTCATGTAAACATGTTGACAATTTCAATTTTCATTCCAGTTTGACTTCGTCCCGGTCTCATGTACACTGGGCCTAACTAAAAATATTCTATATCTTATACCTCTTATTTCAGTTGTGATAACCGTCTTCGATACTGTATTCCCAACTCCTGCTGAAGTCCTGGCATTAATAGACACACCATACGCCGTCAATGGCTCCAGATCTTTAAACAAATACGCCCTAGTGTTTCCATCAACTGTTATATTCGTACCATTAGTAATGCTAAGTACATATCCAGTTATAACCCCGTTTGTTTCGGCCGGTGGTTTCCAGGTCATATTTAAGTAACGGCCATAGCGCGTGACTTTCAAGTGCTCAGGAGGCCCGGGCCTGCCTTCTTTTGTGGTCAGCGTAAGAGGATCACTTTTCGGTCCCAGTCCCACGCTGTTGTTGGCTTGCAAAAACATTGTGTACTCTTTAAAAGGTTTTAGATTTTGCTGTGTGTAGTTGCGCGTTGCTGGATTTTGAATTCGGGTTGTGCAAGGGTTGTTTTCGGCGTTGCAAGTGCTTGCGGCACGTCGCACTCTGGTTTCTGTTGTGTTTTTGTACCAATAACTGAGCTGTAAGCAAAAATATATAATTTCTATTAAATGTGGCACTGTCATTAAAATTTTTATTTTCTTAAACGAAAATGCTCTTAAAACTGTATAGTAACTTCTTTTGAAGTTTTTTCCCATGCTTAGTTCTTGAGATATTTCATTTTGTTTGTAACCATGTGACGTCATTTACTCAATTACATATATAATGAGATATCAGTAATTTTGTGATGTTACTCTGAGTGTATATCCATACCGGGCAAGCTTGAAAAATATGCCTAGCCACGGTGGGAATCGAACCTACGACCTTTGGAGTAACATCACAAACATATTCACCTGAGTACAAAACACCAACACAGAAAAAAATATCAGTAATGGACGACTTGCGCTATAGGCTAAATTTCAATCTAAGTAAGAACAACGAAATATATCACCACAGCTAGAAAGAGCGTCTTGGAATTAGTAATATTACAAGGTTTGGTTGCAAAATGTTGTAAAATACGGAAAATATAGCCCTTCAAAGTTGGCAAATTTGTATACTTTTGTATTACGTGCGTGAATTGGTAACTAAATTAGTTACCACTTTCCGCACGTAATAGAAATGTATACAAATTTGCCAACTTCGCAGGGCTATATTTTCCGTATTTTACAACATTTCGCAACCGAACTTTGCAGTTTTTTCTAATTTTGATAACTTCTTTCCGAAAATATCCTTTGTTATTCCCAGATTAAAATTTTTTCTAAAGCGCAAGTCGTCCATTGTTGTGTATCTTTGCTAATTTGTATCAAAATATTTCCAAAGATGCGGCGCGTTTGTTAATAGAATGAGTGATTTGGATCCGCAATGAAAACTCTGAAATAGGCTTATCCATTCGTATAATCTTTCCTGGCTCACATAAATCCCGATGTATTACCTGATATCCCTCAATTCCCGAAGCATCCACTTGGGTCCATTGAAGAATCACATAGTCCGCACCGATCTCCTTATATTCCAGCGACTGAGGAGCCGATTTTGGTGCTAGATATAACAAAAAATGAATTTATACAACCGTTCTTCCTAGAGGTTCAGCTATTGCTCCAGCGCTCGGAAAAGTAAGATTAGGGGGGACTGGTCATCATTTATGGCTGGGGGGGGGGGGCACCGAAGGGAAAAGGGTTGAGTAAACAAAATTTTGAGTGAGTATTAAAAAGGTGGGGTAAATGAAAAACAAAACAACTCAAGGGTTGGGTAATAAAAATTTATTGTCATTTCCAAAGCATGACTCACTCAAATGTCGAAGACTAAAAAGCAATGTCAACAATCATCTGTCAATACAATATGTGAATCAATCAGAGTCACTATCTTGATCATTTATCGATTTTTCAGGAGGCAAATGATGTCTCCAAAGAAAGTACATGTGCAGACAATATGAAACTTTAGACTGCAGAAAATTGCATTATCAAACTCATGTCACAGAAGTGGTAAAGGACATATATGTGACAACTGAATGATATCCTTTTGTAAAGTTTTTAGTAAGCGATGGGTATCTATTTTTTAATTGATATATGAGGTTGGGTAAAAATTTTCTTTTACTTTCTAAAATGGTGGGATCAGCCAAATTTTACCAAGAAAAAACATTTCTCTTCGGTGGCCCAGCCAGAAATAATGACCGCTCCCTTAAAGTGCCTATGACACGAAATTTCACCCCAAATGTTTATAATTGCATTGTAAAGATCACTTAAAATGACTTAATAATTTCTTTTATAGAATTTTCGTAACTTGCTTCCTTTGCAAGATATTCAACTTTGTTTCATATGCAAATATCACCGGTGTGACATCACATCGCATAATGACATTTTGAAAACGCAATATTTTACCTTCATAAAATATTTTTACAAACAAATACAGAGAATTAATAACCAGTCACGAAATTAATACATAAACAAGGGCAATTTTTAAGTTTTTTAGATACGTATTCGTCAAGAAAACTATACTTTTCTGAAAACTCATTATGTGATGTGATGTCACACCGGTGATATTTGCATATGAAACAAAGTTGAATATCTTGAAAAGGGAGCAAGTTACCAAAATTCTATAAAAGAAATTATTAAGTCATTTTAAGCGATCTTTACAATGCAACCATAAACCTTTGGGGTGAAATTTCGTGTCATAGGCACTTTAAACTGGGTTATATTTTGAAACAACTAGATTCCATACCCACTCTTGCCGTCCGCGCTTGTTGTGTTTGACACTCAGGTCCATTCCCCTGCGCGTTCTTGCTTTTAACTTTGAATTCCCACAGCTGATCGGCGCCCGCGTTTGATATCGTATAACTTTCCCTTCCCTGGACTACTTTATGTTGCCATTCTGTGCCGGGTTTTCCGTAACTCACGTTGTAAGCAAAGTCTGGACCATTTTGATAGAGTTGTGGAACTGCCTGGAATGGGATAAAACATAGCATTGAATACCTGGTGTTTTTGTAATAGATAAAGCATGAGCAGCCGTGTTGTATTGAGATATACAAGCTCAAGCCGAAGGCGGGAGGTTGTATGTCTGATACAACACGGACGGGAATGTTGTAAATGGTTTGTGAAACGTCTCGATGAGAACATTCGTATTCTTCAAAAATTTAAATAAATGAATGATATTTGGTGTGAAAATTAAACTTAAAGTTTATGTAAATCAGCATGATTTCTGTATCAGATATACAAACTCCTTCACACTCATGATTTCTTTGTGTTTTCCTCATGAATTATTAATGAGTTTCACAAGTAATGTTTACAACATGAGCGGCCGTGTTGTATCGGATATCCAAACTCGAGCCGAAGGCGAGAGTTTGTATATCCGATACAACACGGACGCGAATGTTATAAACAACTTAAAAAAACGACTCATCTTATGAGTTCATTGGCGAAGTAATTTTATAAACGTTGTCTAAGCCGAGAAAATCAAAGTTAAAGTTTATGTAAATCAACATGAATCTGTATCACATATACAGATACGACACGCTTATGATTTTTCTTTGTGTTTTCCTCATGAATTATTAATGAGTTTCACAATTTATGATAACGAAAGATCAATCTGTTTGTTGCGTTTATAAACGGACGAATTATCCGATGAACAATTTTTCTTTGCCGAATTTTGTCCGGACGGTTCATCTGTCTTCAGTATAAATCGGGCACTTATTCCTCTATGGTTGTTATTTGCTTTCATTTTGAATGTGAGTTGTCACAAGCTAGATGTTTAGAACGAAGTAAGTTACCTTCCATGAAATGACAATTGTGTGTGGTACGTCAGCCGATCCTTCCACGTCTGTTGGACATACTGTGGGTTCTGTAAAGAAAGATATCAAAAATAGTTTTACATTGTATTTCTTCCTTCATTGGCATAGAGCTATCCAGTATAAATAAGGTTAGATTAGCTTGGGTTTCCTTTTGTGGTAACACTGGATCAACAAGAGATGATAGAGCTATCCAGCATAAATAAAGTTACTTTCAATAAGAGATGATCCTTACTGGACCTCTAGGGAGATCAGTTTAGAACTGATAGAGCTATCCAGTATAAATAAAGTTCGTTTAATAGTTTAGGTTTCCTTCTGTAGTAACACTGGATCAATAAGATATGACCCTTACTGGATCTTTAGGGAGAACAGTTCAGAACTGATAGAGCTATCCAGCGTTGAACCGATAGAGGTATCCAGTTATCCAGAGAAGGCATGGAAATTTATTTCCAAAACTTTCCACTCACTTGCTTGCGCTGTCTTGCATTCTTGTCCTGATGTTGAGTCACTTGGCGCACTCTGTCCATATTTGTTCACAACAGTAACTCGAAACACGATATCACTATACGGGTTTAATCCTCGAACCACGTGACCATTTGCACTACCTGCCACATGATCCGTGACGTCATACCACGTGCTCGTGTCACCTGATATAGCCCATTGTATCGTGATGTTTGTCAAAGGTTGATAGGAATGTCGGCTTATCGTCCATGTTAGGTTCGCAGAGTTCTCTGAGCATTTGCCATTGAGGGTTAGGTCGCGAGGAGCATCTGGTGGTCCTGGAAAAGTTATAAGAATGCATTGAGCTCATCTACACACTCAAAAATCTCACATCTTGTAGCAAGTCTGCCAACAAGTCGTCAACAAGTTGTGTTCGCACTGCTTGTCCCAAGTTGTCAACAAGTTTGGAACAAGCTGTTAACAACTTGTAAACAAGCCTGATGTTATCAGACTTATTGCAAGGTTGTTCTAACAAGTCCGATACAATAATCGTATAACAGTATCGGTATCAGACTTGTTAGAACAACCTTGTAACATTCTTGTTATATCATGATTGTATCAGACTTGTTAGAACAACCTTGTAACATTCTTGTTATATCATGATTGTATCAGACTTGTTAGAACAACCTTGTAACATTCTTGTTATATCATGATTGTATCAGACTTGTTAGAACAACCTTGTAACATTCTTGTTATATCATGACTGTATCAGACTTGTTAGAACAACCTTGTAACATTCTTGTTATATCATGATTGTATCAGACTTGTTAGAACAACCTTGTAACATTCTTGTTATATCATGATTGTATCAGACTTGTTAGAACAACCTTGTAACATTCTTGTTATATCATGATTGTATCAGACTTGTTAGAACGACCTTGTTACGTGTGTATCGCCTGGTTTAACAGACTTGTTAGAACGACCTTGTGTACGTGTGTATCGCCTGGTTTAGACTATCAAAGTTTCTGTGATCACAGTAGGAATTTTGCATAGGTAAATTCTAAGTTTTGAAGGATTTGTAAGAAATGTTTGAGGGAACTAACTTAATGTTTTAGTTTAACATTAAGTCCGTTTGCTCAAACTTTTCTTACAAATCCTTCAAAGTATTTCTATGTTTACATGCCTGTTTTTATCAAGGTCCATGAGGCCAACCGATTCGCAGCAAGTTGTTCCAACAAGTCTGATATCGTCTGCACGCAACAATTTGATGACAACAAGCTCGTAGCGACTTGTTACGAACAGCCTGTGTTGTCTTGTTGGAACAACTCGTAGCAAGTCTGTTACCGTCATCAACCTTGTAACAAGATGATAACAACTTGTTCCAGACTTGTCACAACAACTGGGAACAAGCAGTGCGAACACATCCTGATATCGACTTGACAACAACCTTGTTACAACTTGTTTCCAGATCTTTAACAACTCCACGTTTTTACTTGTGTATAGAAGTTGTGCATTTGCACATGTGCAACGTTTCTTTAGATACTGTGTATTGCAGAGAGAAGCTTTGTATACTGTGTATTACAGTTTATTTTTTCACTTATTTTGTTGCTGTAATCTCACAATGAATGTTCAAAATATTTTTGAACCTACCTCGTACAAAAACAGTTGACGCTGAGCGCTTCTCTACATTATAGATGGAAGTCTTGACATACGCAACACATTCATACTTCCCGCTGTCTTGCAGCTAGAAATGAAAAAATATTTCATGTAAATCAATCTACTGGGAAATAAGGAGGACCTTTCATTGAGCAGGGGGTGGGAGGTCACTAGTGGGGCTAACATTGAGGCCAGAGGCTGGGGCTAAACAATATGGGGGCAGCATGTTGCCTTTTTTTGAGATTTCTCTCGGAAACATGAAGGTTTCCAACGATATGAAAATACGTCAAAACGAAAATCCTCCTAAATAATCGACAAGCTGTCATGCTTCAGTTTACAGTACTGTATATATACTACTGTAGATAGAGAATTCTGATATAACTTAGAATACTCGTAGCCTAGGTCTTGCACGTCGGCTGAATAATGTTAAGTTGTACACGTTTGTTAGCTAAGTTCTGTCTTCTTGCAGCCAAGGTAGTGAGACCCAATTGATCCAGGGCTTCATTATACCGACGATCTGGTAATATTCTACAAGCACGCTTTTGACGTTTTTCAAAAAGCGTTCGTTCTAAAAAAGTTTCGTTCTGTTTCCAACTTCCCATGTGAATGTACAAAGGGAAATCGTGCAAGAGTGGATGAGGTTTTGAATATCAAGCTCGCATTACTCACCCGAGATTTCGAGACCGTATACGTCATGCCCGTTTCACTCAATTCCTTGCCTTCATGAAGCCACTTGTAATTGATAGACAGCCGTGGTTTAGAGTGAGCTTCGCAATGCAACGAGAAATTGCTTCCTTTTTGAACATTTGTCTTGTTTTCTGGCCGTATTCTGAACATGATTTCCGCTGTGTGAAAAATAGTTTGAGAACAATAATAAATGTTAGGAAATATTTAAGCGAAATAGTTAACAGCTGTTAAAAAATAAACTATTTTGCCAAAGATACATTGTTTCGTAGCCATGTTTCCTGAAGGTGGACAAACCAGGAAACATTGTTTCCTAGCCATGTTTCCTGAAGGTGGACAAACCGGGAAACATTGCTTCCTAGCCATGTTTCCCGAAGGTGGACAAACCAGAAAAATGAAGGTGGACAAACCAGGAACAATTGCTTCCTAGCCATATTTCCCGAAGGTGGGAAAACCGAAAACATTCAAATATCAGTATATTACTGTACCTTCTTTTCCAGACTGCGCTTGCACAACAGGACATTGGGGCCCAGTGCCCTCATCATTATAACTCTGTATTTGGACGTCCCACAATTCACTGGCTGAAGTATTAGCAATAGTAAACATTGGTTCATTTCCATAAGGAATAGTTTTCTCATTCCATGATGCCGAGCTCTGCTTTTTGTAGCGGACGATGTAACCAAATCCAGGACCATTTTGACGGAGCGGTTCCACATCCTCAAAGCAGAAGTACAGTATGTTAGAAACAGCTATTCAAAAATAGCATTGACACTCCAGAGAAGCTCAGATTGAACTTCCACTCATTGAGTGTGAGTTTGAGTGAGCTTTTAGAATACGGGCGATAGATTAATTATACATGAAATAATGAATATTTATTCATACCTGCCATGTAACGTTAATGTCGTGTGGATGTGTTGAATTTCCTTGCACGTTCGCAGGACAAATTGCCGGTTCTGTTTGAGAAGACAAAATAATGTTAGCACGGAGATGCAAATGTTGAAGTGGATCTTCGATGTTTTACGGAACAAGAAAAGGAATTAGGGGTTAAGTGCTAGACAGTGTGGTGAAGGTGAGGGAAGCAAGGTTGAGATACGTGTCCACGTGATAAGAAGAGATGAAGGATAGCTGGTTAGAGACATTATGGAATGAAGAGATCATAAAAAGATGTGGGTGGTAGACATTGCAGAGAAGGTGAGGGAAGCAAGGTTGAGATGGTATGGACACGTAATAAGAAGAGATGAAGGAAAGCTGGTCAGAGACATTATGGAATGAAGAGATCAGAAGAAGATGTGGGGTGGTAGACATTTCAGAGAAGGTGAGGGAAGCAAAGTTGAGACGGTATGGACACGTAAAAAGAAGAGATGAAGGAGAACTGGTCAGAAACATTATGGAATGAAGAGATCAGAAGAAGATCTGGTGTGGTAGACATTGCAGAGAAGGTGAGAGAAGCACGGCTGAGATGGTATGAACACGTAATAAGAAGAGATGAAGGAAAGCTTGCCAGAGACATTATGGAATGAAGAGATCAGACGATCTGGGGTCCGTGGTAGACATTGCAGAGAAGTCGAGGGAAGCAAGGCTGAGACGTAATAAGAAGATATGAAGGAGGGCCAGTCAGATATATAAAGGAGCTCGACATTTAAAGATCTAAGAAGATGAAAATATCAAGCAACTGCCGGTGGACATGACAAGTATCATGAAAGAATGGCGGATACTTATTCAATTAGTTGACGATACTTACTTGCTGCCGGCGTCTTGCATTCCTGTCCTGCAGTCACATTACTTGGTTTCCCCATTCCATGTTGATTTGCAGCAATCACTCGAAACACGATATCACTGTAAGGGTTCAGTCCTTTTACCACGTGACCATCAGCACTGCCTGCCACGTGATCAGAGAAATTATACCACGTGCTAGTGTCACGTGACGCACTCCACTGTATGAGTATGCGCGTGAGAGGTTCGTAGGCGTTTCTGTGACCGATGACCCATGTTAGGTTTGCAGTCAGGTCTGTACACTTGCCGTGTAAAGTTAATTTCTGTGGTGGGTAAGGCAGAGCTAGGAAATAAAAACAATTGTTAGTGATATGAACTCAGTGAAATTAATATTATACTGGATAGCTCTGTTAGATCCAAACTGTTCTCCCTAGAGGTCCAGTAAGAGTCATCTCTCATCGATCCAGTGTTACTACAGGAGGAAACCTAAACTAAACTAACTTTATTTATACTGGATAGCTCTGTTAGATCCAAACTGTTCTCCCTAGAGGTCCAGTAAGGATCATCTCTTATTGATCCAGTGTTACTACAGGAGGAAACCTAAACTAAACTAACTTTATTTATACTGGATAGCTCTATCAGTTCTAAACTGTTCTCCCTAGAGGTCCAGTAAGGATCATCTCTTATTGATCCAGTGTTACTACAGGAGAAAACCTGAACTAAACTAACTTTATTGACACTGGATAGGTCTGTCAGTTCTAAGCTGTTCTCCCGAGGCCCAGTAAGGATCATCTCTTATTTGTCCAGTGTAATTACAGGAGGAAACCTAAACTAAACTAACCTTGTTTATACTGGATAGCTCGGTTAGTTCTAAACTGTTCTCCCTAGAGGTTTAGTAAGAGTCAACTCTCATTGATCCAGTGTTACTACAGGAGGAAATCTAAACTAAACTAACTTTATTTATACTGGACAACTCTATCAGTTCTAAACTGTTCACCCTAGAGGTCCGGTAAGGATCTCCTCTCATTTCTCTAGTGTCACTACAAGAGGAAATATAAATGCGATGGTGCTTATTGGACCACAGAGTTAAGAAGAATATTTGCATTATAATTTTTAATTGCAATTTTTAATTCTATCAAACTGTCTGACCATGCGTAAATAGGGCTATATAAATAGTACTATATTATTATTATATTATTATGACCTACCCCGAACAATGACTGTGGCACTCGAGCTTTTTTGAGACGTGGGACTGTACGCGATGCATTCGTAAACACCGCTTTCGTGGCCCTAAGAAGAAAGGATTGAATTTGTAAGCCACCTCAGGCTATGTTTTACCTAGAATTCTCGAAATTAATATTTTTCTCATCTAAAATAGCAATAACATCCTATACCTGTGCGTCCGAGACAGCCAATGTGTGAGTACTGAGATCCCATTGATAATTGAAGTCACTCTTTTGCAGTGCCTTGCCTTCGAACAACCATCTGTAAGCGATGTTTAATGGCGGATCGGAGTCAGCCTCGCAGAAAAGCGAGAAACTTGTGCCTTGGAT